TAAAAAATTATTACATAATAATAATAATAATACCGACCGTTCGAATTTTTTTTTTTTTTCTAGAAAATAAACGTTTTAATATCATCATCATCATCATCATTATTATCATCATCATCACATCATCATCATCAACAACAATTTAAAAAAGAAAAACAAGAAAAATTTTTTTTTTCGCGTTTGGGTTTAAAAAAAAAACGTTTAAAATAATAATACTAATAATGATGATGATAATTATTCCTTAACTTTGTAACTTTAATAATAATAATATTAAATAATAATACGACGTGCGCGAAAGTCGTAGTAAATAATAATAATAATAATTGGAAAAACAATTAACACTTGACGAAAATTATTTATTTTTATAATATATACTCCAAGGTTATTTTTATTTATTTATTTATTTTTTTCTTTAACTTAAGCACGTTTTTTAATAATAATAATAATAATAATTAATAATAATAATAATAAATCGCCAAAATAATAATTTTTTTTCTGAGTAATAAAAAAAAAAAAATGGACGCTTTAATACACATAGCATTTTCCAACAGGTTTTCCTTTATTACTCTCATCATCATCATCATCATTATTATTATTTTTATTATTATCATCATCATTATTACTTCCCGAATGCATCGCGAAAAATTATTTAACGCGTTTGTTTGTTTGTTTATCATCATTCGAGGATTATAACTTCCTTTAAATACGCATCTTGTCATCGAAAAATTTTCCTCAACCGTCTTACGTTTGTGACGTCATCACTTTATCATCGTTATCATCACCACGTTTTGAACCCGATAACCTTTTAAATACCCGATTCCTCAGGGATGATTTCTGGTATATCAGTGATGCCAACCATTCACTTATCGGGAAAATAAGAGAGCCCCGTAACCCACATATTATTATTATTATTATTATTATTATTATTATTATTATTATTATTGATAAAAACAAAGAAAAGAAAAAAAATGAATTCGAGATGATTAATTACGTAACGACGAACATTCTCGAAAAAAAAAAAAAAAATTTTTTTTTTTTTTTAAACCGATTTAAATTTTACATCCTTGAAAAATTCATTTACTTATTTATTTATTTTAATAATAATAATAATAATAATAATAATAATAATAATATATTTGATCGTTAACGCGACCTCGCATATTGATAATAATAATAATAAAATGTAAATGTCGTAAAAAAAAAAAAAAAAAAATGAATAATGTCAATATATTTCATCAATTACGAAACGTTTTTTTTTAATACGCACGTCGTAATAAATAATCGAATAAGCGATATATCGAATCGAATATCGAAAAATTAAATGTTAAATTTATGAATGAATGAATTCTCTTTTTGTTTGAAGTCCCTTTTACGTAATAAAAAAAAGGGGGACCGTTAATATAAAATGTCGCACAAATGTTATTTAAAAAAAAAAAAATTTAACCGTTTTTAAAAGTGATAAGCTAAACATGCAAATGTAATTTAAAAAAAAAAACCCGCGCGTATTCGAACGTGTAATTGTCGCGTAATGGATGTCAAGGATGTTAAATTAACGTTTAGCTTTCGGTAACAACAACCGCCATATTTTTTTTTTAAATTCTTCTGCCACTACTCGCGCGTTATTTGATTTTTTTTTTTTTTTTTGTTTCAGTCGAAATAATAATAATAATTTAATTTCGATAAAATGCATTCGATTTTTGGTTTGTTCGGAAACGTTATTTGGACGATAATCGTCACGCATTTCATTGTCATACGTGAACTTTTTCAAATATTCATATATAAAAAACAAAAATGCGTCAAAGAAAAAATCGTCGTCGTGAGTAAAACATTAATAATAATAATAATAAATTCGTTACGCAATAATAATAATAATAATGATAATTTCACGTCGAGGAAATTTCATTTCAGGTGACGGGATCGGGACACGGTTTGGGTAGAAGAATAGCAAAAGATTTTGCAAGACTCGGCGCCACAGTCGTCTGCTGGGACGTGGATAAAGAAAGAAACGAAAACACGGTAAGTATTTAACGGACGAACGAACGTTTAAATAATTCTAATGCCACTACGTAAAATTTTCGAATTTAGGTTTGGGATATAAAAAATACAAACGGTAAAGGTATATCCGTTATATGTGACGTCACGGATCGTAATCACGTTTTTCGTACGGTCGAATACATACGAGAAAATGTCGGGGAAATTGATATTTTCGTGAGTTCCGTCGGTATATATCCGGTACAGGAAATACTTTTGTGGAAACCTCAAGAACTTTACGAACTTTTCGATACGAACGTCATGGCACAATTTTGGGTGAGTTTCTTTCTCTCTCTCTCTCTCCCTCTCACTCACTTTTACGAAATTTTCTTTTAAAATTTCATCAATCGACCCGGCCGTGATATACGCAACCGATCGTAGAGTAACACACTTTTAATAAAAAAAAAATAATCATAGAGTAATTAAACCCGGTTTTGTTTTAGATATTGCAATCCGTCGTACCGAATATGATAAAAAGAAAAAGTGGACATTTTGTTGCCATTTCGTCAGCGGCAGCCATTGCACCTGTCGGAAATGAAGTTCCTTATTCTATGACTAAATCCGCATTGTCTTGTAAGTCAACGTCATCGCGAAAATGAGATTCCCTAGGGATTTTTCGATTTAACCGACATTTTTTTTTTTTTTTTTTTAGGTTTGATGGATGGTTTTATACAAGAGATAAGAAATCAAAATTATCAGGGGATTAAATTAACGTGCGTTCATCCGTATTACACGAATTGTCGAGACGACATACCCGTTAAATTCGATTTGAGGTTTGTATATTTAATTTCCCCTCCCTCCCCCCGCCAAGTTTGTCCGTTTATCAGACGCCATTTTGTTTTTAGGTTTGGTAGATTGTCACCCGATTACGTATCGAAAGAAATCGTTAAAGGGATACGTCAGGAATGTGAAATTATAAGCGTACCACGTTTCATGCTTTTCTGGATACATTTCATGAAGTAGGTTTTCCTCATAACCAGTGGGAGAGAAAGAGAGAGAGAGAGAGAGAGAGAGAAACGCGAACAATTTAAAAACAATTAATAATAATAATAATAATATTTCAGGTTATTACCTTTCAATGCCAGAATGAGATGGAGAGATGTTTTTTACACGAGAGTTTATCCGACTGATAACACATCCAACAAATACACACAAGATGGCAAAGTTAAAAACATCGTCGAACAATTTAAACTTCCGCCATTGAATCAAGATTCTTCTAAAATAAAATCAAACGATTTGCAATCGATTAAAATCGTGTCGAAAAACGGAAATGATATTATCACTAATAATAATAATAATAATAATAGTTTAAATGATAAATTAAAGCCTTTACCTGTTCCTACTCCACAACCACCACCACCTCCTCCTCCGCCATTACCAACAGTTAATGACAGTTTAAGATTGTGATTGAATTTTCCTCAACCTGAAAAAGTGTAACATCGAACGTTATTAATAATAATAATAATAATATTGTTTTGTATATTTTACTGTTGAAAAGTGCCAAAAGAAAAGAAAAAAAAATTTTTATATTTTTTTTTTTTTTTTTTAAACAAATGTTTAGTTTTTTAAATAAACTTTTTTTTTATCTAAATCGTCTTTGTTAATTTTAATTATTTATTTATTTATTTCGTTTCCTGTAAGTTTCGCCATTTTTACTCAAATAAATTTTTTTTCATGTTGAAAGAAAACGACCGTTAAATTCAAATATGGAAACTTTAAGGTATGAAGTGAATTCTTTCAAGTATTTCGTTTAATTACGTAATTAATTAAAAAAATATTTGCTTACGTAATAAAATAATTTTAATTTACAAAACAAATATAAAATTATTTATTTTAAAAAACGATGGATCGAATTTTTGTTTTGAAAAAAAAATTCAAACAACGAATCAGAAACCGGAAACAGTTTTTTTTAATTATTTTTTTTTTATTGATGTGACGTCACGTGTGGTGGATTTCAAAAGTTTTTATTTTGATCAAAGTAGTTCCATTAATCTCTCTCTCTCTCTATTATGAGTAGAGTAATACGTTGTGTCAGGTGGTAACGTTTTTGTGTTTTTGTTTTGATAATAATAAAAAATAATTTTTTTTTATTTTTCGTCTGACGTTTGAAGGAGGATAATGATAATTACGTGATAATATTTACATATCGTTATAATAAATAAATTGTAAAAATGTCTAATAATAAAACGGAATACAGAGGGAAAAAAACAATTAATCCCGATTTGATTCGCGAAAGGGAAAATTGTACTTTTGACCCCATTCAAATAACTTACATTCTAGATGAAGATCCTAAAAAAACAGAAGAAAGAAGAAAAATGGGTGAGTTTTCCAAATTGCTAAATTCATTATTATTTACTTTGTTTTAATCCATCTCAACTCCTTTTTTTTTTTTTTCATAATACAAAACACACACACACGTCAAGATTAGTAAACTTATTATGTAAAGCCTGTCAAGTAATAATTTTTTTTTTTTAATTGGGGTACAAAGGTCACGGCTGAACAACCTTAATAACATGTAACAAATATATTTAAATACAAATAATGTCATTTGGTTTCATATTTTAATTATGAACCTGAACCATGAATGCAACAATCCAACCTCTCCTCATATAACTATTATCATTATCACCAGCAATGAATAATTAATGTAATTAGTAAATGGGTGAAGAATTACTTATTGTCAGTGCCCTGTATTCGATTCTTATCTTTAATAATTGATATTCGAAACCTAATCTCCTCGTCTTTACTTTCGTTTAATTAAATAAATAAATTTTTATTTTTCAGAGGATTGGTTTTTAAAAGATCCTAGATTTCAAGAAGTCATACCATCAGAATATTTAAGTCACAAGGAAAAATATGAAGAAGCTGTTAGGAAAGCTTGTTTGATATTTAAAAAATTAGAAGAAATGGATGCTGCATTCGATTCGTATAGGTAATGTTTTCATCGAAAATAAAACAAACTCATCGTTGATAAGAAAATGTCAACTTTGACCTTTTAACCTCTTGAAAATTTACATGTGCTTAAATCTTATCATGGTATAATTTTAAGTCGAATGAGATGAAAGTCGAGGAACATAATTTTTAAGTTAATGTAATCGAGTGATTATTGTTTCATGTTTACACAGTCAAGTATTGGGACAATTGGGTTCAGCCGTTTTAAAAGATGGTAATCCGTTCACACTACATTATGTCATGTTCATACCGACAATATTGGGACAAGGAACACTCCAACAACAGGCACACTGGGTTGGTCGTGCTTGGAACAAAGAAATAATTGGAACGTATGCACAGGTAATGGAAAATCAAAAACTATCCTTTTCGAGTTTAAAAATTATTGGGGAATTTTTTTTTTTTTTTTCTTCCCCCCCCCCTCCCTCTTAGCGCAGACCGAACTGGGACACGGGACTTTTATAAGAGGATTAGAAACTACGGCTCACTACGACGAAAAGAAAAAAGAATTCGTACTTAACAGTCCAACTCTAACGAGTTATAAATGGTGGCCAGGTGGTTTGGGACAAACGGCAAATTATGCCGTCGTAGTAGCTCAACTATATACGAAAAACGAATGTCACGGAATTCATCCTTTTATTGTTCAATTACGTCACGAAAAAACTCACAAACCCATGCCTGGTAATATATTTAGGTATACGTGTGTGTGTGTGGAATTGTGCCTTTGTCAAAACGATTATTATTGTTTCAGGTATAAAAATAGGAGAGATAGGTACGAAATTAGGTATGAATTCGACAAACAACGGGTATTTGGGTTTCGATCACGTTCGGATACCGAGAGAAAACATGCTTATGAAAAATTCAAAAGTTTTAGAAGATGGTACTTACGTCAAAGCACCCAGCAGCAAATTGACTTACGGTGAATTTTCTTTTTGTCTTGGTATCACTTCCTCTTCCTTTTCTTTCTTATCATCTCGAATAACGTAATGTACTCTTTAAGGTACCATGATGTTTGTTAGAGTCGTCCTTGTTAAAGATGCTGCTAGCATGTTGGGTAAAGCAGTTACAATAGCCACGAGGTATTCGGCTGTCAGAAGACAATCGGAGCTGAAACCTGGGTAACGTCTCCGAACTTCTACCTTTCGTCTTCTTCCGTTATTTAAACTAAAAAGTAAATAATTATTATTATTATTACTGTTTTAGCGAGCCAGAACCTCAAATTTTAGACTACAGAGCTCAACAATTTAAATTATTTCCAAACATCGCGACAGTTTTTTGTTTCAGAGCCGCCGCATCGTGGCTTTGGCAAATGTATAATAACGTAACGGCCGAATTGGAAGGTGGTGATTTGGATAGGTTGCCGGAGGTACGTACCAACAAAACCTTACGGAAGGTATTAGCAGGAGGTTTCATGTCGTTTTCATTTTCAGCTTCACTCCATAGCTTGTTGCATGAAAGCCGTTTGTACGAGTGATGCTGCCAAAGGTATCGAAACCGTTAGAATGGCATGCGGCGGACACGGTTACATGACTTGTTCGAATTTACCACTCTTGTACGGTCTTTGCACGGCCATGTGCACGTACGAAGGAGAAAACACGGTTTTGTTATTGCAGACTGCCAGGTTCGTTCCTCTTCTTCGTCGGGAACCCCTTTAACAAAAGAACGTTACGTCATTTTTTTATCATTTTCAGGTACTTGGTAAAACAATTTCAAGGTGCGAGATCGGGTGGAAAATTAACTCCGACTTTAGAATACATACGTACCGTTGAAAATCAAGGGACGACGGTGAGACGTTGGGATCAAACCATGGAGTCCATATTGTTGGGTTTCAAAGAAGTCTCGGTGGGAAAGTTAAAAACGGCCGTTGAAAATTTAGAAAAGAGACAAAACGATGGGATCCCACAGGAAGATGCTTGGAACATGAGTCATTTGGAATTGACGGGTTGCGCGGAGGTAAAAAAAAGTTTTTTTTATTGTTTGCTTTTCCCCCGTGTGGAAAAGGAAAATTTATTTTCTTTTTCTTTTTCTTTTTTTCCAGGCTCACTGCAGAGCTTTCCTCGTGAGTAAATTTTACGAATCCGTTGAAAAATTAAATCCGTCCTCAGAAGTCAAATCCGTGCTGCGTCAATTATCTGAACTTTACGCTTTGTATTGGATATTGGAAAAACTCGGAGATTTTCTAAGGGTGAGAAAAGTTTGGGAAAAGTTTTGATTTAACCCCCCTTCGGGGGGGGGGGAAACGACACTAATTTCCTTTTCTTTTGTAGTTTTCATCTTTGGAAAGTTCTCAAGTCGGCACCATACAAAAACGACTGGAAGACCTTTTGGCACAAATCAGGCCGAACGCTGTCGGAATCGTTGACGGTTTCGACTACTGCGACGAAGTTTTAAATTCTGCTCTGGGGTCATACGACGGTCGCGTTTACGAAAGATTATTCGAAGAAGCGAGCAAGAGTCCTCTGAACAAACAACAAGTCAACGGATCCTTTTCCAAATACGTAAAACCATTGCTGAAAAGCAAAATGTAAATGACATGATGATAATAATAATAATAATAATAATGGAGGAATTTTATAGTAGGATCATTATAATAGTGCAATAATAATAATAATAATACTTACCGAATCGATCGAACGCGTCAGTAATTTTTTTTTTTTTTAATCAATGATTTAAATTATATCGCGACGAAACCATTATTATACGTATTAAAAATTATTTTTATATGAATTTTTTTATACACGAAACGAAAAAAAAATGGATAATTTATACAAATATTACGAAGCAGACGAAATTTATTTTTAATAAAACATTCCTTTAACGGTTGTATTACGTAGATTTATTTGAATAACGGTTTTCTTTTTTGTTTTTTTTGTTATTGTTAGACAATTGAAATACTCCTTTTTATTCTTTTTGTTTATAATTAATAAATATTTTTATATTTGAATTTTTTTCCATTATCGTTAACGTTAATTTATTATAATGATGATGATGATGATGATTTATATTTATTAAATTGTTTTTTTATTATAATATTTACGTTAAATATATATATAATTATTGTTAAATAAAAACATTTACCTTATTTGATTTATGATTGATTGATTGATTGATTGATCCCGGATCGGTGTTTTTATCGACTGAACGTTACAAAAAAAAGTATCAAACTGTTTTTGAATTAAATATGGCGGCCGGCGGTATTATTGCCACCACAAGTTTTCCATTGGCAACAATGTAATCAAACGCCCGATTTTACAAAGATAATATAAACTTATTATTATCTTATATCAATCCGTATTCTTTTTAGACTGCGAAAATATATAAAAAAAATTATTAATTCGTTTGTTTACACTCTACAAGTGTATTATGAAAACAAAATGAAAGATTAATGAAAAGAAAAAAGAAAAAAAAAAAAAAAAAGAAAACGGATTATTAACGTTAATCGTTATCCCTTCAAGTGTCGATATGAATTTAGAAGAATCGAATGAGTTCTGCTGCCGATTATGTGCGAGTAATACGTCGAAAAAATTCATTTTTATTAACGATAAATCTTTCACTTTAAACATTGCCGAAAAAATAAAATCCTACCTTCATGTCGATGTGAGTTTAATGATTTATTACTACAACAAATAAGATTTGAAAATTTGTTTTAAACAAAAAAAAAAAAAAAAAAATTCAAAACGAATTTCCTTATTCATTTTTTTTTTTTGTTTGTTAATCGATTACAATTTTCATTCAAAATTATTTGAAATCAAATTGAATTAATTTAAATAATATCTCAATCATGTATTGTTTTATCATCGCAAAACTTTTTTTAAAACTTTTCCAGATAGAAAAGGCAAACAATGAGAAAAAAGAAGCCAAAATATGTAATGATTGCACGGATAAAATCACAGAATGGGATAAATTTGCATTGCAAGTTAAAAAAGTCGATGAAATGTTTAAGTCGCTGGCACACAACAACACACAAAACCCTAAGGTGTGTAAACAAATTGTAAAGAAATTATTCGAAATGAAATGATTTTAAAAGTAACACAAAATCCTTTCCCACTCATTAATCATTTTTTCTTATTTTAGGATGTCGCAAAACATTTGCTCAATCAAGAATCTATCATACAACAATCGACTTTAACAGACGACTCCAAAATAAAAAATTTCAAAAATGAACAAAATGAAGGAGAAAAAACTGATTATTCCAAAACTCTTGAAGGTAATAACGAAGAATTTTCCGATGAGGATGATGTTCCACTATCGACTCACATAGAACCTCCAAAAGGTTTTAACAATATTAATTTTTTTTTGTGAAACTTCATCGAAACAACATCAACAACAATAATGTGTTTCCACAATGCAATTTTTAGATGCTCTCAATAATGTTAAAGAACCAAAATGTAAAAAAAATAATAAGCCGAAAGTAAAATTAAAGATTGATGCTATGAGAAAATCTAACGATGAGGAATCCTGTAAAGAAAATGAAGAAATGAAAAATTCAACGAATGATACAATCGAAAGTAAAAATGAAAAGGCTGATGGTGACCACGATGTACAAGATGGTACAAAAAATAATGATGATGGTGATGGAAATGACACTGATGACGTCAGTGATGATGATGATGACGACAAAGAAGAAGATTTCAAAGATGACAAAAACGTTAATAAAACAAACGGATTACAATCGTTGTTCATGTGATTGATTGATTGCTTACCATCTTCTGTTCCAGTGGTACCCAAACTCTTCTCTTGTTATTTATTATCATCATTATTATTCCAGGTGGGAATGCATAAATTGTAACGCACCCGTTAAAAATTGGAATGCTCTAGTCAAACATTGTAGAGAAAGTCACAATTCCAATGCATCCGTTCGATGCGTTTGTGGTAAACTTTTACAATCGAGAGCATCCATAATGAAACATCGTACGAAACACACGATCGGTTACGGTTTCAAGTAAGTTCTAGAAAATTCTTCTTCTTCTTGTTCTTTTTGAACGGACGACGATCATCCGCCATTTTGTTTGGTATGCAGATG